AGTTTATAAACCATAACAATTAACAGATGATTTAAAAGATTGCAAATTATATGAATCAGGAAAGCAAAATGAAGGAAGCGAACTCTAAAGAACTGATGTTTAAGGAAAAAAATTAGACAAATAAGAATTTTTGGAGCACTTAGGAACAGTCACATTAAAAGGATGAGACTTAATTGAGTGACGAGTAACATGAGAATGAATTTTAGTAGATGGCACAAGAGACGCTAGCTCTTTAGAGCAGTGTCCATTATAGTATTTATAAAAATAGGGTCGGTTCCCCAAAAGTGTTATACTTTCTATGTTCCCAAAATAAAAATATTTTTTTTTAGGCAGAATATAATTATTTGATATTAGTATAAGTATGTAAAAATTTAAGGTTTGCAGCGTTTCTGGAAGTTTCTTCACTTGAACATTAGAATTTCATAGGTCTTCCCCCCTTTAAATGTCTTTTCTGAAAATGTGCCACCTGGATTTTAATTTTTACAGTTTTGTGTAACCTAAAGGTTTCTTAAATAGAATTTATAAAAATATATGGGGTGTTCGAAAATCAAAACCTAAAAGGTCAATTTCTGATCTGTGTTTATTTAACTATTAAATTCTTATCAGTAACTGGGTTAAAAGCTTTAAGAAAAATTAAAAAAATATGAATTCATAAAGCTGTTCAAAAAATCTATTTTTAACTTAAAAGCATAAATAAAATTTTCTGCATTTTAATAAAGTTTTTCTATAGAATTCACTTTTAGTTAAACATTCACAATGGAGGCTTATTTTAAATAAATTGGGTCTGGGTTTTACAATAACAGCAAAATTTGGATTTGCTCACTGAAAAATATCACCGTTTTCAGTAGATGTTAAAAATGCTTTTAGCTTTGATTAAAGCTATGTTTCTTTAATTCTAACAAAAAATTAGATGGTATAAGAGATATTAAACAATTTGTTTGCATTAATGTATGCATATAAATTTAATAATATATCATAAGTTGACAATATATTTAAAAACTGAATGTTTGTGCATTGCTATAAGTAAAAGGTCTTTGCACACAACCAATTAGCATTTATATTTCAAGGGTTGTTTATAGTAAACACTTTTATTTATTTTTATGTTCTACTTATTTTTTGTATAAAGCTAATTTAAAAAAAGGTTGATTAGTTTTGAAGATTTAATATAATATAATAAGTTATGACACTTCCGTTCTCAACAAGAATAGTTTATTAAACCTCATATAAATTTAAAATATCAAATAGTTTCTTAATCTCTTATTCATTACCTAAGAATTGGCTTAAATGTAGTAATAAACACAGACCAATAATGACATTGCAGCTTTAGCTCATTCACCTAATTAAAAGCATACATTAGTTTAAAAATAATTTTACAAAAAGACAGCGCCGCCGAGAAGGGTGGAGGGGGGTCACGAGGGACAGTTTGTCTTGGGTGGCAGATATCCAAGGGGCACCAAATGAAATGTAGGTATCTAAAAAAAAAAAAAATTTCATATGTAATATAGGGAAAATTTGATAAATAAGGGCGCCAATCAGGATTGCTGTCCCAGACGACGTGACAGCTCTCAGCGGCTCTGCAAAAAGAACATTATTTCTTATAAGATCATTAGCATAAGTGATCAACTTGATAAACATAAACTGATAAAAGTTTGCCTTAATTTACATAAATAGTAATATTTGTAGATATTTTAGATATTGTAGTAGATAATAATTTATATTAAAAAATAACCTTTATATGTCTCTTTTTTAAATATGTTGTGTTCCCTGGCTTTTAGTTTATGACTCGAAATTTAAACATCAATTCTTGAGGTTTACCTATCTTATCATTTCTAAAAGTATCAAGTGTAAACTAACGAAGTAAGTTAGGCTAACTTACCATACCTAATCAAAATAAAAGCACATTATTAATTTGCATCTTTTTAATTCTATGAATAATTTTTATTTAAACAAAGAAACACTCTTTTGCTTAAAATGTAATGTATAAATATCAAAAATGAAATAATATCAATAAGAAATTATGCAAATCTATTTTTTATCAGATGACTTGTAGTGCAAAAAAAAATTTTATGAAAGATTTTATACCTTTTTGTCGTACTGTAACTCAGTCGTACTCTCAGCTAGAATACCAAATATATAACTCTAAACTATAACTATAATGAAAAATATAAATAATTTAACCAAAATTAAGTTCCAAACGCCAAATAATCTATAATATAATATTGAAATGATAAAATCATTTTATTAATCTATAATATAATATTGAAATGATAAAATCAATCGTAGTTGTTGTTGTTTTTGAACTTATCAGAATACTCGATTTCCTGGTACTTTTCGCTCTGACGTCCCATTACTATGTCATGGCAATGGGACGTCATGAATTTCATGGTCCATGTCATAGTAATGGGACGTCACGAATTTCATGGTCACACTTATACAGCTTCCCGATTTTTCTTCTTTAAAACGCTAGAACAGGTTGCATTGAAATTTTTTTTTTTAACGGGTTATTATTTTTATATAACTTGAATAACGAGGGTATTTATTTATTTATTTGAAAACAACAGAAGGACCCGAAGGCCACTAACACTGAGTATACATTAACAAACTTTTTTTTTTTTTACAATGGTGTTTGTACAGTTTAAAGTTATGACCGCAATTATTCAAGTAAGAATTGAGAATAAGAATGTTTGATAGGTCAGTGTCCAGTTTACCGTTAAGAATTTTGTTGCATAAAACTAAATCTTTAAACACTCGTCAATATTCTAACGTGTTAAATGTTTTAATATAATTTAATTATAAAAATTTATCTAAGACGTTTATCTTATCTAAGACCTTTAAAAAATATTATGTTCAATTCTTGTTCAAAAATATTTATCCGGAATCCCAAAAACGCTTATTTCTCGCAAAACTAATAGGTTTTGCATCAAATTTCAACTTTGTTTGAATCTTCATTAAAAAAAAAAAAAAAAAAATCAAATTTTAAAAATGATAATCTTATATATATAAACCAATTAATTTTTAGAACAATCAATGTTCCAAAAACTAATTTGCTTATATATATATATATATATATATATATATATATATATATATATATATATATATATATATATATATATATATATATATATATATATATATATTTAACATATGATTTTATTTATTATTACTTAATTAAGATTAAAATAAAGTAAATATTTTTTATTGCAAGAAATAAAATATATTTACTGCTAAACGTTTTAATTCATTACTAACTTTAAGAACATTTCAATTTTAAATAATAAAACACATTATAAAAAAATCATAGTACCGTCAACTGGGGTTACTTTGATAGGTTTTTGTGTTTTTTTTAAAAGTGCTGATAGAATTTTAATGAATTGCTGTTGTTTTTGGTTTGAATATACCAAATGATCTATCCTTAACAGGAAAAAATGCTTTTTAGAAATATCAGAATTTGTCTTGTATTTGTTATTAAAGCCCAAACAGTTGTCAATTTCAGAATCATTATCTGAAGATGTTGAAGACTGGATTTTTTTATTTTATCGTTTTTTTTGACAACCAATTTTGTACCAGTACCACTACACTGTGTTCGTTTTTTTGTTTCTTTGATCACACTGAGATCATTTGATGTTATTTCTTTACCAGGAATTATCTTTTTTCCTCTCTTCTGTGTTTGTTTGTCTGGTTTATTGAATCCACAATGATCTTTTAGCATTTCCTGAACAACTGCGCCAAAGATTTCTTAACCCTTTTCACCACCAACATCTCGGTTCTCATTTGGCAGTCTTTTCAAGACTTCATCTCTGTTTAGTGGAGATATTCCACAAGCCGAAAAGCCAGAAATCAGGTTTTGTTCTTTTAGTCTTCGAAGCAACTTCAACAATAACCCAGGAAAATGTGTCTTTGTTATTGTACCTTTGATGCGACTTTCTTTTCGCCAACATTTTAGGATTCTCTTCCATTCTTTCTTCATAGATCTAAAAACTGCTAAACTTGATATTAAATCTTTGATACAATTTTTTTTTAACGATAAATATCTTTTCAAACCAAATTTATCACTAACTTAAGTTCAAAATATTTATCTTATTAAACGATTTTGTGATGATTTATGGAATATTAAGCGACATCTATTGGTTGTAAGCGACATCCATTGGTTGAAGGAGATGAAGAAGATGACTTGCATTTGGTACCAAACAGGTGAAACGAATGTTGAGCGGCCTCAATGACTGGAAAATCGAGAGGCAAGATTGTCACCAATGATGACTTTTGGTCCATGATCTTTACTAACGTTAGAAAGAAATATTTCTAGAAACCAGCGTTCGAAGATTCTTGAGTCGAACCAGCCTGACTTTGTGTTGTCATAACAAGTTCCTTCTGGGTCACCTCTGGTCCATTCTTGATAAGCATTTGTAGACTTATATACTACCGTAGGTGGTAGGAATACTCCAATAGCATTTCCACAATACATGATGCTTACACAACTCTTTGAGTGTTGCATTTTGCGTTCGACTCTTTTAAGTCCTCGTCTGCATATGATCAATTTTGCGCCAGGGTCATCCGAAAGATTAGTCTCGTCATAGTTATAAATGTTACAGGATTCAACGCCTTCTAATGTCTTTGCTAAGTCATCGAAATAACCGTTCACAGTTTGTCTACAAACCTTTGCGCGTGAAGGTTTTACATTGTCAGCAATGCGTGTTGTCAGCTTATGGCATTTGATAAAACTTAGCATCTAATCGATCTCTGGTAAATTGTTGTTAAACTGTCTATTTTTAACACCGGAGTGATCGAGATAATGTTTGACCAATAAACGAATATCTAATCCATCAACATGCATTTTCCAATCACAAAGAACGTTTATTACCTTCAAAATGTGGCTCTCGCAATTTAAAGAAAGTGCAACTGGATGTCCAACTTTTTCTCCATGTTTACTTTTCATTCTGTTGTGCAATGTCCCGTATGGAATTTTAAATTTTTTAAATGCTTTTAGCAACTCATAGTACCCTTCCGGCAACATTGAAGGGCCGCTGACAACTGAGTTTCTGAATGTGAACGATAAGCACGACTCCCGTCCTTCCTCTTGTAGATCCTCATATTACGGATAGGTAGGTATGTACCTATAAGCATATAAAAAAAACATGTTTTTATAGTTTTTTATTACTGTTTAGAATACGTTTTTTACACTCTTTAACAAAAAAAGTTACAAAAAACTTGGTAAATTTTATTTTATTTATAACAATTTTACTATATTTTTTACCTTTCAAATCAATTTGGTGAAATCTTTGTAAACTTTTGATTAGTGTTAATTTATTTTTAACCTGAAAATAGAAAAGATAGTAAAATAGTATTAAAAATATACTACGATAATATACTGAAAAAGTAATTCTAAAATAATCATCAATGTTAACCCGGGTATCAAAGTAACCCCCGTTGACGGTATGGTTTTTCTAACCATATATGATGTAAAATAATGCTCTACTTTGGTAGTTATAGGTAGTTATGGAAGAGAAAATAATACTTTCAATATTCAATGAAACTGAAACGGGTAAAGCTTTCTAAGAGCAACTAATTCAAAAAACAACTTTCAAGAATAACATATCCACCAGTGCTAATTGATGATAATCTTTTTGAATTGAGACCGCATTTAATGAAGACTTATGTTCATAAAAGTTTGACAATTAAAACATGTATTTTAAACTACCGATTTCCTAGAACTAGACAGACATGGTACTAAGTGTTGCATCTTTAAGTTTTGAGTTTTCATTAGATACAAATCTTTTCAATTGTTTTTTTTATATTTGTTGGAGATTTTCTTTAACTTAATAATTTTTGTTGATTACTAAATGTATTAGATAGACTTATGTCTAATAGAAGACAAATTTAACACTCTTTTAATGTCACTTCAATTTTTAGTTCTACCTGACTACTAGGTTCTTCATCATAATTTATACTTTTATTTCTTATACATATTTTAAATAAATTCTAGTCTTGATAAGAAGCCAGTACTCTCTGATTGCTTGGAGGGGGCATTTGAGCTTGAAAAGGATTTCATTTCTGCTAGGGCATTGGGTTCTTAGTGGCTGGTGAACTTTTACTCAGATAAAACTCAATTTTTTTCAGCAAATTATTATCGCAATAATCTTCCTATATTTATGAACAATAATGTACTCGATGAGTCATCTACCCTTCATCTTTTAGGATTAACTCTTATTTCCAATCTTTCTTGGAAACCATATATCAAATTGATTGCAAAATTAGAATCTGTTAAGGTTGAATTTCTTTATCATGCTTGCCACTTTTCTACTCAAGATTCTATTCTTTATCTTTATAAATCTTAAAATTCATCCTTATATGGAATACTGTTGCCATATCTGGGATGAATCTCCCAATTATCCCATTTCTTTAGACAAGGTGCAAAACACATTGCAAACATAGTTGGACATGCTCTTGCAGCCAACCTCCAACCATTATCACATCATAGTGTTGCTTCTCTTTCTTATTTCTATAAATACTATAATATGCGCTGCTCTAAAGAGTTAACGTCTCTTGTGTTTTCTACTAAAATTCATTATCGTGTTTCTCGTTATTCAATTAAGTTTTATCCTTTTACTGTGACTGTTCCTAAGTGCTCCAAAAATTCTTATTCATTAAGTTTTTTCTTCAAAAATCAGTTCTGTTGAATTTGCTTCCTTCATCATGTTTTCCTAAGTGGTCTGTCAATCATTTCCTTGTTCAATAAACTTCATCTTTTCTCTTCCAGTAACTTCCAACTTTAATAGTGGTTACTTGCAGCTATATTGGAAGTGAAGATAAAAAAAAATAATACATGACAAAGGTATATCTACAACATTTGTTTTTGTATTCTATGTTGTTTTGCCCTGCCAATCAAGAACACATTCAGTGCAAAAAATTAAATTTTTTAGTCAGGTGTAGAATAGGATTCCTTATAAGATTTTGCACCTGTGAGAATATCAAGGTGTATGTTTTTACCTCTCAAATATATGTTTTTGTATTTTATTTCTCATTCTTGGACAGTAAAACCCAACAATACTCCTATCGCTGTCCAGGCATATATTTTTTTGATAACATTTTTGGAAGTTTAGCATCGAGTTTAATATATAGCACATAAAGAGTACTGCACTTCCTGAATAAAGATTTCATTTCTAAATTTTTCATTACATCTTTTTCTTGTTCCACTTTATATGATTGTGTAAAGAATTTTTTTTAATATTATGTTTTCTATATATTAAAATTGCGATGTTGCATAGTGTTGTGTGACAATTATTGTAGAGATTCTCATCAATGCAATAACCTATAAAAATTTTTTTATAGGTTATTGCAAATTTTTTTTGAAGATTTTGTATATTATTAAAATTGCAATGTTGCATAATGTTGAGCAACAATTGATGCAGAGATTCACATCAATTAGGGTGACCATTGGCCTGGTTTTTATGTAGGAGAATGCAGCCCTAAACTAATTTTAATTAGTTTGGCACTGCACTC